GCTTGAGCCCAGGGGTTCAAGACCAGCCTGGGCAACAGAAGAAGACTCTGTCTCAAAAAAACAAACAAACAAAAAAAACGAACAAAACATAACAAAAACAACAACTCAAATGCTGCTTAACAGTATGAAAATGACTAATCAATCAAACAGGGAGTACTAAGTTATTTTAAATGATAACTGTGGAAACAATGAATATACATAGGAATGAAAAGCAGAGTAAGGATAGCTGTCACTTCTGTGCTCTGTAAAATGTATAAACATATACAATATGAACCACAGGAAAATATGAAATACCTTAGAATAGTTTAAGACTTAAAGGTTTTTTCCTGTATTTCAAAATGATATTCTCATATAAGCTCTAAGTTCTGAACAAACTCTCATAATAAATCTTCAAAACATCTCATAAATGCTCAAAAATTCACTTACGCCCACCAGGCCACCACTTAATGGAGGTCACAGTAGGACTGTTGAGAATGAATTCTTGGGTTTCAGGGTCATATGTGGCTGTGGTTTCCAAGCCTCGAAGATGAGTTCCTTAGGAGATAAATTACATTTATTTCAGATAAAATATGGGGAAAAAAATAAGACACAGGGTAATATTTCTTGCCCAGTCCTTTAAGTTCTAGTGTCTCAGAGAAAAACAAAATCTAACAACAACAAAACGTTTGCAGATGAGCTACAAATGGTTGATAACCAAGATACTTAATTTCCTATACTATCAGTTTCCTGTTAAGCTGAAAATATAAGCATCATGTCTGTCCTGTTTCTATATTTCATTTAGAGGATTTGTAACATTTATTTACATCAACCAAAAGAAAATGTAAAAGCAGCTTAAAATCATATTTTTATCAGATCATAGTTTATGAATTAACAGGGAAGTTAACTGTCCTTTCAAACCCATCTCTAAGTTGCAAGTATGCCAATTTCAACTCTCATGTATTGTGTTTACCACACCAATTCAACATACTAGAATTCTGTACTACTGAGAATAAGATAACATGATAGGAAGATACTTCAGCTAAAGTTCTTGTAAATTGAGAATTTCTCTCAGAATGATCATTAGAATGAAAAATAAAAGCTTCAAAAAGTATAACTATTATGGGAGAAAAGACCTAGAAAATGACTTTTTAAAATTACTAAAAGTTCAATAAGGTCTGAGTTCACCCTACAGATTTCCAATACCAGGCCTTCGCTTAGTCCTAGCTGGTTCTTTAGTGTGACAAGGAAAGGTTTCCAGCTGCACATATTACTGGAGAGGGACAGGACTTGGGTCTTAAATTCTAGTACAAATATGCCAAAGTTCTTTGAAAAGAGTTATAGAAAAATGTCGTGGGTGGCACACTCTATAATAATACTGAAGCAAATGCTGAGAACCTTTTACCAAACTGCTTTGACAACACTAACCTCATTAAAAACTTAAAACCCTGAAACATTAGAAACTTCCAAGTTGAATAACAGAAATGGCCAATTTATGTGTGATGTACAACCTTCCTTAGAGGGGGAGTCAAGAAACCAGACACATAGACTCCTTTTACCAAAGCAGCAGCTTTTACAGAAAAAAAGATAACATATTAAACAGAACAGATAAGGACAAAATGTTTTCAAAAGCACAACTGAACCAAATAATATTCCACTTTAGAGTCTTGTGAAAATCCTGTAAAATACTGCTCAGCACCAAATAAGAAAAAGCAGCTATACAGACATAAGGAGCAAATGGCAAATACACATTGAGCCAGTTGTTCTGAAACCTCCGAGCAAAGAAAGAGAAGCCAGAAGCAAATGAAGCAAACACAGATGCCAAAGCAGAACAGGTGATAAAAGGGACCAGCTGCCACCTCCAGGCCCTTGTAGATTCATGAAGAAAGGCAGGTGGGGGATGATAAGATGAACGAAAGGCAGTAGATACAGAGCTTGAAACCAACTGCCTGCAAGTATTACTTGTCTTAACTTTTCTAATCTCTGGCCAAGTCGCCTTCGGAACTTTACTAGATTTACTGAATTAAAGTACAAATAACTTCAAGGCACAAAATGTTGCACACTTTGGTTATAATAAGCTACTCATTTCCCTGAAGCAAGTCAAAGAGATGCATGCTATTAATTTATATTTCTTCTGGAATTTGTAGAAGTCCCTTAAGGTATCAGTAGTGAAGGCAATCAGATAGTAACAAAGAATACTGTATGCACAGATTCTATCAACTTCAGTAAAACTGAAAAACCACTTGGTAAATAAAGCCCGACTTGCAATTCTTGACCTTCTGGAGGGGAACTATGGAAAAAAAAAAATCAGCATATCACTATGATAACATAACCTTTAATTTCCACTGACCAAAGCAATGTGTAAGCCAAAACCTGGACTCTCCAGACAGAGCTCATTTAAACAGATCACAGAGCAGTGACTGCCACTGCTAGCACATGGTGGGCACTCCATACATGCTAAGCTCAAAGGGACCCACCCAACCCAGAAGGTAGACTGAACACACCATACCATGACCCATCTCTGTCTGGGCATAAGTGCCAATGATCTCCAAGTTCCAGGCGGGCATGAAGAAGCGCTCTTGCTGCTCCTCAGTTGCCTGTTGAAGCAAGGTAGGCAGGAACATGCCCAAGTGGAGATCCAGAGGCTCAGGCCGCCCTCGGTGCACAAAGCTTCCAATACCAAGGATGAGCATTTGAGAGAAGAGTCATCAGGTGTGAGAGAATCAGCAATTTAAACAGATAGAGCAAGGGAAGGAGAAAAAAAACTTTCTGTAAGTATGAATTAGTTGCATGCACTTTATCACGAATAGGAGCACCACCCCTTTCTGTATTACTTTTAACTCTGGACAATTTCCATTTTTCCTAAGTTGGCAAGGAGTATGGCAGAGATTGGCATAGCTGATTCCAAAGCCTAAGCAGCACAGAACCATGAGTGCAAGGCAGAGGATTCCAGCCTAGCAATTAAATCAAAGGAAATAAATGCGAAAAGGTTGTACAGAATGGAGAATTAAAGGGGTACAAGGATTTTCTCTGACAAGGTGAGACATGAGAACATAGTAGTTCTCTCAAAGTGACAATATGATCCCCCAGACTAAAGCTTTTCCTAGATGCCATTTCAATAATGCTTCTAGGCTAGGGATATCTTGTTTTGTCCACAAAACATCCAGCATAGGTCCACATTTCTTATATAACTCCAATCATTTTATTCACATTCATGTCAAATATTCAGCTATGCTCTACTGAAATAATACAAAAATTGGCAGTGCTCTTCATCCCAATAATTTATTTCAGAAATTAAAACAAATGCAATTTCTAGGTAAACCATAAGAATTACGAGTTACAGACTCATGCATAACAAGCTCTCCATTATAATTATATAGGAATTATCACTGATGATAATAAATACACTGGCTTTAGTTATTTTAAATCGACTTTTTGGGGTCATTCTTTTCCGTTTAAAATCTGCATGTGCCTTAAACTTCTGTGTGGATTTATTTCTAAGGATAGGAAATACTTCTATATGCTTTTGTATTTTTTCATTTTATTAGTATTTTTTTAACTTCCAGTTCCAGTCAACTCCATTTGCTCTTATTATATATTTAGTTATCTTAGAAATGAGCCTAAACAATGCTTCAGTTTTTAAATTTCTCAAACAGTTTGCTCCATATAAGGTAAAGAGACAAGTAACCACGGCACAGGCAAGGGCTGATCAATGACTTCTTCCATTCAGGGTGCTGTGCTTGCAGCTAACCAATCACATAAAAATCAAAGAATGTGTGACTGAATCTCTCATTTTACAGAGAAGAAATTAAGGCTGAGATGGATTAAGTGCCTTGTTCATGTAAAAAAATAAATAAATAAATAAGTAATGGCAAAACAAGGACAAGACCCTCATCACCTAATCCTGTCTCCTAGTTGAGGAAATGAAGGTACAAGTGCAGCATGGGCTAAGGACTCTGATGAGGACACTAAAAAGACATGCCAAAAAAGCCAGAGCTGTCCATGGAAGCATCAAAAGTGGAAATCCTGCAAGATGTTACAACTGGTGGAAACTGGGGTACTATTTTTACAACTTCCTATGACTCTACAATCATTTCAAAATAAAATTTTTTTAAAAAATTAGAGGAAATCCCAAGCAAAACACATTTCATGGGATGAGAGTGCCTTTCAATCACAAATAGGAATGTCAACTGTCCCCAGCATTTAAAAGACTAGTGTCTAGGAAGAAAAATCAATGTATGCCTAGGACCTGAAAGGAGAAAACTCTAAGTTGGACTGAAACCTGGGGTCAGCCACTTTTGATGCTTTCATGGAAGGCTATTTTGCTTGATGAGAAATCAGAGCGATCCCTGGTGAAAGGGAAGGCCACGAGGAAGCATCCATGAAATCATGGAAGGTTTGTGTCTGTGTGGTACCTCAGGGAGTAATGACAAGTGCTACAAAATGACACCCGGTAGGGCAGGGTGTAAAAATACCGTAATTAGAGACTGTACTGAGACTGAAGAATGTTTTCAGGAAAAAAATGTCTCTTGTAACTAAGATAAGGATTATTCAGAAGTGGATGAAATTGAGAAATGTTACAAAGGGAAAACAACCTGGATGGTTTTTTGACTTAACCCTAGTATTTGTTGTAAAAAGTTGGTTATGTGTGATAATGATATTATTTTTAAATAACTTATTGTAAAATTATAAAGCACCAACAATATACTATACTCGGTGAAGCACTAGAGTCAGTTCTTTTAAAACTATAACATCAAAAAGGCCTTGCCAGTCTCTCCTTCCAAATGATACAGGCTGGAAAGGCTGGTGATCAATACTGAGGAAAAACAATTAGATTAATAATTTATGAGAAAGGAAGAAATAAAAATGCATCTCTGTAGACAGCATGATTATAATCCTAGGAACTCAACAATGACAACGAAATGCCAGCAGTAATAAATGAATTGAGAATAGCTAAGGCTACAAGGAAAAAGAATTAACTGCATTCTCATCCATCGGGATCATTCAAGTGGAAACCCCAGCAAAGAGAAAGACAGTTTACGAAAGTAATAAAATATCTTATACTTGTTAAATAACTTAGCTCAGGCTATTAAAGATTTAAGAAAAAACATAAATACCAAATAGAATGAATAAAAGAAAATATGAATAATAGGAAACAAACAGCTAAATTCTGGCTGACAGGACTAAATAAAGGTAACATTTCCCAAGAAAACAGAAGGCTTTAAAGTGACATTGATTTAAAACTCCTGTAGAATACTTTTTTAGAACTTGACACATTGAAATCAGAATTCATCTAGAAGAATAAGCAGGCAAGAATACCAAATATGTGTATCTTGAAATGTAATAATAGTGGGCTTATTCTATCAGATTTAAAAATACCTTATAAAGCAACAATGAGCCAAAACTTACATTAGAAGAAAAACAAAAAAAGAAACAAATATATCAATGTAATACACTTAAGGCTTCAGAAATAAATTTAAACTACTATAAAACAAATCAGAAAGAACATAATGGGAAAAGAGCCACTATTAATGAACGTTAGAAATCTACGAAACTGTATGGGATTCATTCCCACTCCATATTATACACAAGTCAAAGCATTAAACATAAAACAAACAAAAATATTGGAAGATAATTATCCAAGTTACGGGAGGGAGAAAATTTATACCTATTCAGAGAAGGATGAGTTGAATACAGAGGGCAAAACACTTAACATAGCAGAAGGTAATGGTAAAAATATTAGACAGATACAATATTATCCCATAAGGTCGATATGCAGATTCTAGTTAACCAGTACTCAAAGGGAAAAAGATCCATTTTATATATAGGAAATGTAAACAGTAAATCAGAATATATAATAACATCCAGGCTCACTAGCAATGGAAAATTAAAACTTTAATTCTTAGATATATATTTAAGTAGCAAAAATAAGGTGGCCATATTGATGAGGCTATCAAGATACAGAAAGAGAAGCTGTTAAAGTTTATTGTAAACTGGTTCTGTGTTTCAGGAAAAGTCTCAAACTATGCAGCAAAAACTATAAAATGCTCATTCCCTTCAATGCAGTAATTCATTTCTGAGAAAGATATTTCAAAGGCATAATCCCAAGGAATATAGTTTTCATACAGAAGTTTATATTTTTTTCCACAATACCAGGGAGATTGGAAAAGTCCAAGTTTCCAGGGGAGCAAGTTTCATGAGAAGTCCAACAGGGAAGAGAATCGCTTGGGGAAAAAAGAACAGCGCACTATGTAGTATGGGGCTGTTCCTTCAACCCCAGAACCCCAGGGAGAGGAGCCCTCTGAGGCTCAGGCCTCTGCCTTTGATTAAGGCTCACAGAATCAGAGCAGGTGTGTGTTGGGATTTCTTTGCGTGTCTTTAGAGGAGGAAAGACACTCTAGAGGGAAGAGATAAAACTGGTAACCAATGCTGCGAGCTGACGCCACGGCACTCTGGCCAGGGCAACAGAGTGACACTCTGTCTCAAAAAAAAAAAAAAAAACTGGTAACCAAGCCTTTCTGCACAGGATAGGAACCTAGAATGAGCCTGAGCAACACTGAGTCTCATGTCTCAGCAGCTACCTAGAGGTAAAGGAATCCCAAACTCAAAGTTACAGCTAATTCTGTGAGAACACTTTAGACAATCATGGTTCATCAATCAATATTCCAAAGTCCCATAATTTAAATAATTAGATCTCATTCTGTACAAGTTGTTTTATTGCCAATCTCCTTGTTGTTGAAGGACTTTTTACGTACTCTATATAAGGCAATACTGTCTGGATGGTCGGATGGTAGTGGGTTATCAAAACTTACTAACGTTAGTGTTACAAAAGTTGGTATACAATCCTTTACAACCCCCAATTTCACTGGCTTATCATAATAAAAATTTTTTAAAAAAGGCGATACTGTCATATGATGCAAATTGCCCGGCTTCCATGGAAAAGAACAGTCAACAAAGAACACCAAAATGAATTAACCAAATTCCAACAAGAAGCAAGATCTAATCTTACAACATTGTTCTCTAAACTACAACTACAAACTAAACTACAAGACAAGTTTGGTTCAAATATAACAAAATATCCAAAACTAGAAGCATTAAGGGAAAGAAAACTCTAATAAATGCAAATTCATGTAAAGCAACATAGGATCTTAGCCCAATTTCTGTTCTCCTCAAACCAGTAAAATTTAGGACTTCATTTCTTCCTCTCTCCTTTTAAAATTTAGGGCAAATATATATTTGTGATGTACTTTCTAGAGACAGAGGCATTAGACCAATAAAAGATATACACAACAGACCCATCAGGCTCAGAATATTTCATATCTTAATCTTATGCCTCCTGTGAATAGCATGACTTATTAAGTCAAATAAATTCTACAATGATGAGTACTAAAGCAAAAAAAGGGTTCTGTACCACAAAGCTATTTCAAAATTATAAAACACATACACATAAATATACATTCAAGAGAGGAAGATGACATGAAGAATGTTATCTTTCTTCCCTTAGGAAACCTCTCTTCAGGCTTGTAATTTCAGCACTGGCCTTCCAGAAGCTAAAATCCTGGGTGTTTAGTAAGGTGTTTGTAATGTCAGACTATTACCAGAATCTGCAGCCCCCATGGAGATCATAAGAAAGATCGTTTTCCTTAATCCACTTCACAAATCAAAAAGCA